GCAGGCAACCCAGGGACATGCTCCCAGGTGTCTCCACCATTTGCATCCTTTCTCAGCCAACCGTCTAGTAGAGGAATCCTGTATTAATTGCTCCCTTCATTTCTTGATAGTTTTCAGCACTCATGTATGTTTTAGTAAATCTATTATTGTTTGGTTCCTGTTTTTACACTGTATGTGAATGGAATCATACTGAAGGTATTCTTCTGAGACTTAATTCAATATTATGATTTTTAGACTCAGCCATCATGATGCATGAAATGCATCATGTAGCTTTGGTTTGTCATCCTCGCTGCTGTGCAGTAGTAACTATGTAAATGTAGTACAAGCTTCTTATTTGTTCTGCTCCTGATGGGTGTTTAGAGTTTTTGATGGTGATTGCAAACATTCACAGATGTCCTTCACATTGGGAGTTCTAGACCATAGGGCTTAAATAGATCCAACTTTACCTGGGAATCCCAAACTGGTTTCCAAATGAACACTCCCTTCACCAGTGCATGAGACCTCCCATTGTTCCACATCCACACTTGTTACGGTCAAACTTCTAAAAGTTTTTCTAATTTAGTAGTGTATAATAGTAGGAAATTTTGTTCTGTGTTTGCATTTCTCTGGGTACTAATAAGGAAGATATTTTGTATAAGCTCTTCTGTATCATTTAATTTTTTAAAACATTCTTTTAAAAAAAAATTCATAGAATGTTTTATTGTCTCAGTACAAATATACGTATTTTCCCAGTGGTGTATCTTAACTTCTCTTTTCATATTTTCCACCCATGTTTTGCTTTATGTTAGGGAAAAAATTAACCATCCATTCCATAACTTTAAAAAGTTTTTGTCGATCATGTTTTTAATTCTCAAGTGCTCATTGGTTCTGTAATTACTTCTTTTTTTTTTTATACCAGTCTGTTCTTTTTTATTTAATACAATTTCAAATTTTTCTGAAAACTCTTACTATACTTGAATTTTTTATCCTCTTTTCCTTGAACTATCTAAATTTCCTCTGGAGCAAGTCTTTCTCTTTGCTGGCTGGTTAACAAAGGTAACCCTTGTTTTAGTATACCAATCCATCTTCCCAGCACACTTGTCCCTGCAGGGAAGGGCTGACTTAGGGCTGTTTATAAGTAGACAGGGTATGCTGACTAGAAGGTTTCACTTAGAGTTCAAGAGAGGAGATGCCTCCAGGGAAGTTGAGAGCCCTAAACAGTAAGAACAGGAAGTACTTCACTAGTGTGTAGCATTTTTATTTCCCTTCAGAAAAGCTGACCATTCTACTACTCATCTACGTCTACTTTTAAGGTCTGATATTAATTTAGAATCTAGCTGTTTCTTAGCTATCAGTTCCCAACTGGGAGTTCTACTTGATAGTTCATTTTTCAGCAAGTATGAGGGGTCTTCAAAAATTAGATGGAAAATGTACATTAAAAAACTATTAATGGAGTTCATAATGTTTTTAACAAATTAAACTTCTACTTTAATTACATTTTCCCACCAACTTTTTATTTCTTCCACGAGCAAGAGAAACAGAGAGGGAACAAGAAAAAGGGAGAGAGAGACAACACTATCAGTGAGAAATCACCCCCCAGGGGGTATGGCCATGTCACAATCCCTTCTCTTCTATTCTCCTCTCAGGATTTTGGGCATGCACACACACATGCCCAGCGTGGGTTTTAAGCTGCCAGGTCCAGGACTCGAATCACAGTCAGCTACGTGGGAGTCCAGTGATGTAACCATTACGCCATCTGCTGGTCCCAACCTATTTTAATAGTGAAATTTCTCAATGCTTAATAAACTTCCCTTTTATAATATTAAATTCAATTGATCAGCAAACTACCTTTTAAAATAATTGGACTGAAAATCATTTTCTGTAAATTAATACATTCTACTCTCTTAATAACTATATAAAATTATTTTATAATTTTAAAAAGGATTTAAAGTACTCCCTAAAGTAGTGAGGATTAGTAATAAATTTACACATGCACATTTTGTGTTTGGTTTCTCTAAAGTTCAGACTTTCTTTATTTCCTGTGTGTTCACTACAGTCATCATTCCAAGTCATTTTAAATCATAATGATCCCAAATCAAATTTAAGAGCAGCACAGGAAATGCTGATGGAATCAGCTCTTCTAAAGTTTCAAACGTGTAATAATCTACAAAGAATGTTCAGATTCTAAAATAGGGATATCGGGGCCAGCAGGTGGCATGGTGGTTAAGGGCGCTGGACGGCCACATGGCTGGCCATGGTTCGAATCCCGGACCTGGCAGCTTGCTTTCTCCCTTTCTTTTGCCTTCTTTCTCTTACTCTGTCCCTTTCTGGTCAAATTTTAAATAAACAAATAAATAAATAGAGCTAAATAAAATAATTCTTAAAATAGGGACATTACCTTTTTATACTTGGCTTTTGCAGGGAGATTTATTTGAAAAGTGCAAAACAAACAAACAACAATGGCAATAACAAAAAAAAAACCCCTCCTATTCTCAGAAAAGAGAAAAAGCCAATCAAAAAAAATTCCTAAACAATGAAATGCTGAAGGTGCTGAAGGATTTTATACCATATAAGTAAAGAGTGACATCATGTTTTATAGAAAAAGATCTGTTTTTATATCATCTTAGTTGCAAGGCAAGCATCTGGATACTATGACATGCCATAACAATAAGCAACAGGCAGACACAAGTAAACCAAAAGCAGTTCTTCGACAAGAACTCAATCTCAAAGGAACAGAAAGCAGCTGTCTTCTTGGGGATTAACATGGTAGGATGGGGACCAGCAGTTAGCGTAATGGCTATGTTGCTGGACTCCCACGTAGTTGACCGCAGTTCGAGTCCCGGACCCGGTGGCTTAAACTCACGCCGGGCGCATGTGCGTGCCTGCCTAAGATCCTGAGAGGAGAATGGAGGAGAAGGGATTGTGGCGTGGCCATCCCCCCTGGGGGGTGACTTCTCACTTTCTGTCTCTCTGTCTCTCTCTGTCTGGCGAGCGCACGCGCCCTATAGCAAAAACCTCTCCAAAAAAAGAAAAATAAAAAAACATGGTAGGATGGAGAAGACTGTGTCTTTGGGGCAGATCCCTGAATTCAAATCCTAGGTGTCATTTTTTTTCTTCAATTTTTTGCTAGAGGGCATGTGTGATTGTGAGAGAGAGTGAGTGAGTGAGTGAGAAAACACCCTCCACATGCACACCATAAGGTGTGGTCATACCACAATCCCCTCTCCTCCATTTTCCCTCGTCTCAGGATTCTGGACACACATGCACACACGCTTAGCATATTTCTCAAGTCCAGGACTCAAAAAGCACAGTCAACCATGTGGAATCCAGCCACCTCATAAGAGCACCACTGGCTGGCCCTAGCTGTCGTTTTTTATCCTTGTGACCTTGGGTAGGTACTTTTCTCAGAATCTCATTTTCCTCATGTGTAAAGTTGAGATAATAATGCCTAGCTTAAACAGCTATTGTGAAGATTGAATGCAGTAACATACATCAAGGGGCTGGCACTCAACAACTCTTTCCTTTCTTCTTTCAAAAACCCTGCGCCGAGAGGGGGTGCATTTATTCATGTGTGATATCCTCCTGTGACCCTGAACGTTTGAAATTCAGTGGTGAGAAACACGGAGGAAAACAAGGACGACTCTTCAGACTCCTGCTTAAGATGCTGATGCCAGTTCGCCAGGTGCACCTGACCGAGCCTTTCTTCTGATCCTTTTCTTACTGTTGAATCTAGTATTTTCTTCAGGTTTTCTGTCCCTTGGCATTTCAGCTCACTGACTGATGCCTGTGCCCCCCGCAAACCCCAGAGCAGGGCGGGATGCTGAAGAGAGACTGCTTCCCATTGTGTGCTTGCTCCCCCTCCACTGACCTTGCGCTATCTGTGCAGCAAAATTCAGGGACCTCCCAGTGCATTTGTCTGGACTTCCTTTCTCCCCAGCCCTTCTGCCTCACAGATGCCCAGTGGGTGAGCCTCAGCCCCACCGTCACGGCTACTAGCTCAGAGTGATTTTCATCTTCAAACACAGCTTTGTAACCGGCCAGGAGTGCTCTCAGCTCACCGGCTGCTCATGGAATGAACAAAGCCCAGTCTGTGAGTGTGCTTTTAGGACACGAACAGGGTGGCTTATGCATCTTTAATGCTGAAGATGACATTAATACCGATTAGTAGTGCCAAAGAAGAGAATTAAAACACTACTTCACGGAATGAGAACATCCTCTCGTTGACAGCCAAGTTCGTGAGTTTTATTAGCCACTGGATCAATAAGGAAACCCCTTCCTAGACAGTCTAGTCTGTTTCTGGGAGAGAGGGATGGTATTCGTACTGTGCATGTTGTGACTTTTTCTTTTTTTTTTTAAATTTTAATTTGCTATCGGACATGTGTGCTCACTGGAGAGAGAGGGAAAGTGAGAAATCATCCCCAGGGTGATGGCCACACTGCACTCCCTTCTTCTTCATCCTCCTCACATGATTTTGGGTTGCATGCACATGCACTTGGCCTATTTTTCGAGCCATCAGGTCCAGGACTTGAACCCTGCAGTCGGCCATATGGGAGCCAGCTGCCTTAACCATGGTGACAGCAGCTGGCCTATAAGTTGTCACTTTCCTTCACCGAGGCAAAAACTGTCTATCTTAGGTTTTTCTGACTGGTTTCCTTTTCACTCACTTTCTTCTAATTTAAGTCACTTAGTATTAACTTACCTCCCTACCCCCCCTTTTTTTTACCCCATATATACTAGTAAAGGGTAACGAAGCACGATGTTCCTTTCTCCTCGAGTCGATCTGAAATTCACCATTCTATGTTTGCCTTTCCTTTCCTTGACTGTGAGCACTCAAGGCCACCACAGATCTGACCGTGCACTTGCTAAGTACCTGAACCAAGTGACCATCTCTTTTTCCACTGGATTTTGTTTCTTATAAATTTCACTTAGGCCCTACCATCTGTCACGTGCTCATTTCCCCTCTTCCTCTGCCCCCGTTTCCCCTACACCCATAGGAAACTGTGGAAAGAAACTTTTCTTACTTGGATTATTGTGTCCGGTGGTAACAAGCTGAGAGTCCTGGAAAACAAAACAAAACAAAACAAGAAATAATGCCAATTAATTGTCTTATTTTGCCTTCAATAAACACACTGGACATGAACTAATATATCACTGGACATTTAGAACCAACTTCCTGCATAATATCTACCAGCTACTGAGATGAGAAACATTTACATGGATGCACTTGGTAAACAGTTCTGGGAACGTAATTCACAATCACTTTTATTTTGTATGGTTAACTTCTTGTTTATTGAGGTGAGGTGAAATTCATATAATACAAAATTAACTTTTTTTTTGAGAGATCTTTGCCATGCATTTGCTGGAGAGACAGAGAGAGACAGAGAGAGAGAGAGAGACAGCCATCCAGAAAGCGAGAAATCACCTCCTAGGAGGGATGGCCATACCACAATTCCCTCTCTTTCATTCTCTTCTCAGGATTTTGGGCATGCACGGACATGCAACTGGGTGAGTTTCAAGCCACTGGATCTGGGTCTTGAACCATGGTTGACCAAGTGGGAGTTCAGCATCCCAACTGCCATGCTAAGTGCTGGTTCCAACCTTTCTTTAAAAAAATTGCTATGGAGTATGTGTGTGCTTGCCACAGAGAGACAGAAGGAAGGATGGGGGAATGAGAAAGCACTCCCAACTGATGGGGGGAAGATGGCCACACCACAATCTCCTTTCTTCCATTCTCCCCTTGGGGTTTCCAGCATGCATGCACAAGTGCCATTTCTCAAGCTGCCAGGTCTGGGACTTGAACTGCACAGTTGGCCATGTGGACCAACCACCATGCCATTCATTGGCTGGCCCAAAATGAATCATTTCAAAGTGAATAATTCAGTACAGTTACAATATTGTGCAATCACTATCTGTAACTAGTTATAAAATACTTCCTTCACTGCAACATAAAATCCCTTACCCATTAATCTGTGTTTCTCATTCCCCTTGCCCTCAGCCCAACCAACTTCTATCTGCCTCTATGATCTATCTATTTTACAATATGGGACCTTTTGTGTCTGGCTTTTTCCATGTGCCATAATGCTTTGAAGGTTCTTCCCTGGTATAGCACATACCAGTACTTCATTCCTTTTCATGGCTAAGTAGTATTCCTTTGTGTGGATATACAACAATTTGCTTCTCCATCTACTGTTGGATGTTTGGGCTATTTCCATCTTTCTTGCACTGTGAATAGTGCTGCTGTGAACACACATACATGTACTTGTTATTTTTTCGAGTGTGCCTAGGAATGGATTTCTAATAGATCATATAATGAATCTGTAAAACTTCTGAGGACCTGCCAGACTGTTCCCCAGGGGGTGGAACCATTTTGCATGCCTACTAGCAACATATGAGGATACCAGTTTCTCCACATACTTGCCAATGCGTGTTATTTTCATTTAACAAGAAAAATGATAGCTATCCTTCTGGGCATACAATTTTCTCATGGTTTTGATTTGTACTTCCTAGTATCTAATGATGTTGAGCTTCTTTTCATGTGTTTGTTGGCCATTTATTTGTCTTCTCTGGAGAACTAGCCATTTGAGCCCTTCGCTATAGGGGGCATGAGCTTGCCAGACAGACAGAGAGAGACATAGAGACAGAAAGCAAGAAATCACCCCCCGGGGGGATGGTCACGTTGCAATCCCTTCTCCTCCATTCTCCTCTTGGGATCTTGGGCACACACACACACACGCGCGCGCCCGGCGTGAGTTTTAAGCCACCGGGTCCGGGACGCAAACCATGGTCGACTACACGGGAACCACTAACTGCTGGTTCCCGTGATGGGAGACAGTTTCTGATGGGCATGAGTTTAAGCCACTGGGTCTGGGACTTGAACCACGTTCCATGGGAGTCCAGTGACATAGCCATTATGCCAACCGCTGGTCCCCAAGTTGAATTACTTTAAGAATGACCACCAGTTGATTTGATTGGCCCTCCCTTCACCCTCGCTAATCACTTTCCTCCCACTCTTATTCTATGGAGCTCAAGACAGTTGAAGTAATATAATTTACAATTAATTTAAATATTTATTTTGAGGTAATCCTAACTGTCAAATTTTACTACAAACATTTTGTGGTAGTTTTTGAAGCATGCTAACAACCCCAAGGGGAAGATGTATAACTTTCCAACTTTCCTTCACACTTGCTGGCTTTTATTCTCCTGCTAGTGGATACAGAGAAAAGTGACAGTATTCTCATTTCTGTAATGAAGCTGGACTTCTTTCATATAATGCTTTAAAAATGAACCAACAAGAACAATTTCAGACCAGATCTGGTCCTACCAGATTCCAAATCTGTGGCCTTGGAAGACATGAGAAATGCCATCAGATTTGGACATGCCTCTTCCTGAGACAGAAAGTTTTCTACAATTTTGATATCTTTATTTGCATTTCGAAACTTATGAGACTGCTGCAGAAATAAAAGAGAAAAGAGTAAAGCAAATTAATTTTCTCTCTTGGGTTGAAATACCTAATAATGGAAGCCAATGGAAAGAAGTCGTGCATTCTTTTCTTTACGAATTTCGATGACTTTTGAGATTTGAAGAATGAGGCAGAAATGCCTGCTAGTGTTTGTCTAGAGAACTGTGAGTCCAGATTAAGTCCTCAGAGAATCCCCAAAAATAGCCAAGTTCATTATCAATTGACTTTACTATACACATATCATGTCCTTTAGTAACCAGACACAATGAGGACATTCTCGGAAGTATTTAGGAAATGAATTCAGTGGAAGTGGTAACTCAGAACGGACAGTTAAATCCACTCTCCTTGTGAAATCAAATTGCCCCCTTAATCTTAATAAGGGCTTAACTTCATTGTTCATCAGTCATTTTCAAGATTCTGTTCCTCGAATTCCGCACATAATTCTAACTCCTACACGTGAGCGATAGTGATCATCTCAAACGCCAGCAGTCTAGTGAATGAACTGCGGTGTCCAGCTGTCGGAATACTAATTTGTTGGAGACAGCTTAGGAGGGGTGCACTCTGGGTGACACGCGATTAATGATCTCTGCGGTAGACAGTAACGGTATCGCTCTGCATGCACTAATATCCAGAATCTGTGGGTGCTACCTCACATCGGAAAACAGACTTCCCAAAGGGATTAAGTTCATGATTTTAAGGGGGGAGATGAACTGGATAGGCTCCTTATAAGGTAAAGAACGAGGTGGGAGGAGTCAGAGGAAGAGACGGAATCTGAGTGCAGGGAGCCATGAGCTAAGGAACAGGGGTGGCCTCTAGAAGTTGGAGGTAGTGTAGTGGTTAAAGCGCTGTATTCCCACATGGTCAACTGTGGATCGAGTCCTGGACCTGGCAGTTTGAAACTCAGGCTGTGCATGTGTGTGTGCGTGTGTGCAGGAAATCCCAAGAGGAGAAGGGACTGTGGCGTGGCCATCCTGGGGTAAGGGGGGTGATTTCTTGCTTCTTGTCTGTCTCTTTGGTGAATGAACATGCCCTATAGCAAAAAAGATTTTCTCTCTCAAGAAAAAAAAAATCATGCCATGTTCTTAAACTTTGTAAAATCGCTTACTCTTTCTTGGGCAAGGCAAACAGGTATAGAGTTAGGATAACACTGTGAATCCTATGATAGTCCTAAATAAGAACCATATGCTTGTCCATTTAAATTTGAAATCTGTGTTCTATGGGATAGATAATAATGTATCTTTCTGAGTGAAAAATTAGATACTTCGAATGTTCTGTCTTAACAGTTGAAATTTTAACTAGAGCTGCATTTCTGTATATGAGAACTAGAACTTGCTCATCTGGCGTGGGTGGAACCTGCGCCCTTCAGCAACATGTTCTATCACCGTCTCCTCTCAGTCCCTGGTAACCACATAGGAGTCTCTGCTTCTGTGAGTCCAGCTACTTTAGATCTTGTATAGAAGTGAGATCACAAATAAGTAAGGCTTCTTTAAATTGACTGCCATTAACAGCTATTTCTACATATAAGTATCTGCCTTTCTGCATCTAGCTTATTTTACTTAGTATAACGACAATAACACAAACACATACATATGTGTGTCAGTGACATTACGTGCGTGTATACATATATACACACAATATATACAGACACAGGTAGCATGTACATATGTAGATGATAAATGATCAGAAACGTGACTACAGTTAATAATATGGTATTTGAAATTTGCTGAGAGGATAGTGTTCTTATGACACACATACCTCCAAAGAAGAACAAAAAAAGAGAAAAGGGAAGTGGCAACGGTATGAGGTGATGATATGTTAATTCGTTGGACTGTGGTGATTATTTTACAATGCATACTAAAAACAAAACATCACGTCATTCATCTAAAATATATACAATTTTTATTTGTCAATTACACTTTAGTAAAGGTTAAAAAATGAACAATTTCTGCTAATGACTTAGTGTCTCAATTTTACCTCAGCAGTTATTGCTTACCTTTAAGTATTTACATGAAACAACACATTTGTGTAATCTTTTTGAAAGAGTCCCAACAAAATATGCTTTTGCTAAGTGCCCAGTTATGGCCAAACTTATTCCATAGGTACTTATAAATAACAAAGATGCTTACTTGTTATCTTTTGAGTCCACCATTATTTTGGCGAGATTGTGTGCAAAGCTTGTAAGGATCCTGTGTTTTAAGTGTTCTAGGATGCCGCTGGAGATACACATGGAATCAACTACGTTCCTCTGTACTTAAAAGGCTGGGGGCTTGGGAACTTCCGGTGGGTTCAGGCTGAGACACCACCAGTGGGAGGCCATGCTCACTCACTTCAGTATTGTCTGAAAAGCCTGAACGGGTCACCCTTTGGTCTTTCATGGAAAAGTTTGTCAACTTCTAAACAATGAATTATTGGGAAAATAACTCATTTACATAAATACGTAAAAAAGAATAAATCCTGAAACAGATTCATGTATTTATAAGCAACTCACGTATTGACATAGGTGATATTTCAAATCATCAGGGGAAAAAAATGGGCTAATACACTGATAGTGTTATAATAATGTACTAGCCACTGGAAATAAAAAAAATAGAATTCTATGTTGTAATATTTTTAAACCTAATAAAAACTATAAAAAGAATGAAAATAAAGAGAACATTGGTAGAATATTAAAGGACGATCTATCTATCTATCTATCTATCTATCTATCTATCTATCTATCTATCTATAACTTTCTTCAAGGTTTTTTTTCTCTCATAAAAATTAAACACTTTGCTAAGCCTGGCAGGTGATATGGTGGTTGGGGCACTGGACTCCCACGTGGCCAACCGCGGTTTGGGTCCCGGACCTGGCAACTTGCTTTTTCACTTTCCCTTTCTCTCTCTCTTTCTTTCTGTCTCTCTCTGCTCAAATTAAAAAATAACAACAGGGACCAGCAGTTAGCGTAATGGCTATGTCGCTGAACTCCCATGTAGCCGACCGTGGTTTGAGTCCTGGACCTGGTGGCTTAAACTCACACTGGGCACGTGTGCATGCGTGCCCGAGATCCTGAGAGGAGAATGGAGGAGAAGGGATTGTGGCATGGCCATCCTCCCTGGGGGGTGATTTCTCGCTTTCTGTTGCTCTGTCTTTCTGGTGAGTTCACGCGCCGTATAGCAAAAAAATAACCTCTCCAAAAACGAAAACAACAACAACAATAACAAATGGAATTAAATAAACAAGTAATTCTTTTAAAAGTAAATAAAAATTAAAATGATATACTTTGCTAACACAAAAGACACATAAGCAAGGGTAAAAGAAAATAGGTGCATCATATATAACAGACAAATGAGTAAGATAGAAGGACTTCACACAAATCATTTTTAAAAAGTGGCAATGAGGGGCCAGCAGGTGGTGTAGTGGTTGGGGCACTGAGCTCCCCCATGGGTGATCACAGTTCAAGTCTCCAACTGGGCAGCTTGAAACTCATGCTGGGCACATGTGCATGCATGCCCAAAATCCCAGGAGGAGAATTAAGAAGGAATCTCAGTGCAGCCATGCCCCCGGTGGGGTGATTTCTCGCTTTCCCTCCCACTGTCTCTCTCTCTCTCTCTCTGGTGAGCACACATACCAAGAGGCACAAACCTCTCAAAAAAAATAACAATAATAATAAACCACAACCTCAACAACCATCAAAATAAGTTTGATAAAATAAATTACAGCAAATTCAAACTACAAAATATTTTTCTGCTGTTGAAAAGGATGAAAAACATCTCTATTAAGTTTACTTGGGAACATCTCCAAACACCCTTCATTAAAGGAAAATAAACATAAAATCTTAGAAGGGAACTTCCCGTTGTGATAATAGTAATGGACAAGTATTTCCACAATTGACTTCAGAAAGTTAGAATATTGACATTTAGCAATGATGTTTACATGTTGGGTGTATTTGGGTAAAAATAAACTCTTGGAAAAATGCTTTGCATATTATATAATTTGGGAATTATTTTTAAAAATGGCATATGTACATATGTGCTTATAATATACAAGGGAAATAACTATTTCTTTCTCTTCCATGAGAGACAGAGAGACAGAAAGGCAGGTATCCTCAACAGTCTTCATGCCACAATCAGCCCCCCCAGCCTTAGTCAGCCTGGATCACAGGCAAGTGCATCCAACCCAGAATGCACAGGGACATCCCAGGATGAAAATGAAGGACCTTCTGAGGTGGGGACAGTCGTACTGCATCACCATTTGGAACAACACAATGAACTCTTGATAGCAATCTCTGGACAGGGACTTAGAATCTGTCCAGGGGTTCCAGGGACTTTCATATAATGCTCTTCTACCAATTTTATAATTCGATCTTTTATGAGAGTACTTCAAAAAGTTTGTGAAAAGAGAAGAATTAAAGTATGAGTTTATTCTGATGCAAAAATATTTGAAATTGAGGTATAGTTTTTCATAATATGCGCTTCCCATAAACTTTTTGAAGATTCTGTAATTTATGCAGGTATGTGTCAAACAAACAAAAAAAAATCAAACAGATCCTGTTAGCCTCATGTATAATTTAAACATATGATTTTTTTGTGTGCTTTTTCCTAGGAAATATAGAAATCTTTTTAAGTCTTAGAAAATACTGTAAGCTTTAAAAAGATACCCAAGAGAAATTAAATACCACATGTCTACAATTCTAAGACATTGATTTTAAGCTACATCATGAATTTAATAACAGCCTTTCAGGGAAAAAAAAAGATATACCATCACCTCAAATATATAAAATGATTGTATGATGCATTTCACCTTCACGAATGCTTTTAGAAAAAAATGACAATTGTAATAAACACTACAATTTGCAGAGAGAATGAATGTGAAGGTAAGTAAGACAGTGAGCTTAATTCTCTCCCTCTGATGAGTAAAAATTGCTTGTACATTGTCGATGATGTGGTTCATAAGCTGGTGGCATGAATATTTAGAGAGAAAAAAATCAAGGATAAGCCCACTGTCCCCTACGAATGTCTACACAAGTAAGACATACCCTGAAGGATTTGAGCTCTCACCTTATTTGGAAATGGAAATTTGCTTGGTTCCACTTTGCCAGGTGCCTGAATAGCAGAAAGAGGTGGGAGCCAGGTCATCTCCTAAGGGGAAGGATAAAAGCAACAAAACCGTGAGACAGAAATATTCGAAGTCAGTAGCATGGAACAGCTATACAAGCAAGTCTCAGTAGGGTTTGACTGGGATAAGGAAGGAGTGAGGGATGAAGAGAATTTTGTTTGTTTTAGGTTTTTGACATAGGGCACGTGCACTCACCAGAGAGAAGGAGAGTGGAAATGAGAAGGCACCCCTTGGGGGGATTGGCCATACTGCAATCTCTCCTCCTCTATTCTCCTCTAGAGATTTTGGGCGCGCGCACACACACACACACACACACACACACACACACACACACACCTGGTGTAATGTTCAAGCTGCAGCATATTAGACTTGAACCATGGTTGGCCATATGGGAGTCCAGTGCCTTAACCACCATGCCACCTGCTGGTCCTGAAAGGGATTTTTTTTTTAAAGGATGTGGAGCATACTTCTATGATATCTTTTCCTAATTTTACCAGTTCTTGGCTGGATGGCTAGTCCCATGTTCTTTTAACTTATACCTTGAAAAGATCTACAAGGCTGTCTTAGTTTATTTCACTTATACCCCTGAGTAAAGGGATAACCCACTAGTCAAAGTTCTCCTGAAGAAGTCACACAGAGGGCACTTGGACTTGATCCCTCAAAGGTCACAGGTGTCTCTGAAGGAGTGCATGAAGCACTTCTAGCTTTAGGAGCTTTATTAGAGGAGTGATTTATGCTATCATAGTGAAGGAGACTCACCCCTACTCTCATCTCTAGCTTTCCACATATCTACCAGTGCCTGGCTGTCACATTTTTCTTTTCTTTTCTTTTTTGAGAGGTTTTTGCCATAGGGTGCGTGCGCTTGCCAGAAAGACAGAGAGAGACAGAGAGACAGAAAGCGAGAAATCACCCCCCAGGGGGGATGGCCATGCCACAATCCCTTCTCCTCTTGGAATCTTGGGCACACGTGCACATGCGCCCAGCGTGAGTTTAAGTCACTGGGTCCAGGACTCAAACTGTGGTCGACTACATGGGAGTCCAGTGACATAGCCATTACGCTAACTGCTGGTCCCACACATTTTTCTTTTTTAACAAGATTTTTGCTATAGGGTGTGTGTGCTCACTGGAGAGACAGAGAGACAGACAGCGAGAAATCACCCCCCTTCCCCAGAGGGGATGGCCATGCGCAATCCCTTCTTCTCCATTTTCCTCTTGGGGTCATGGGCATGCACGCACATGCGCCTGACATGAATTTGAAGCTGCTGAGTCTGGGACTCGAACCACAGTAGACAATGTGGTAGTCCAGCGATGTAACTATTACTCCATCTACCACTTCCCTGGCTGTCCCTTTTAAGGAGGTTGCTAACCAGGACTAGGGTTTGTGGCCAGAGTGGTAACTGTCCGTCCATCAAATTAAGGTCTCAGAGTTGGGCCGCCTTGTCAGGAAATGGTCGGACCTCACCTAGATTGTTGCAACCCGTTTAAGAGAGAAGACATAAGTGTTTTTTCCTCGGTTTCCCAGCCCCATCCTTCCCACGGTCTGGCCCTCTCACAGCCACTTCTCATCTGGTCTGTTGGAGGCTTCTGACTTTGCTCTTTCACTTACATTATTAGCTAGGAGATACGGGTTTTTGCTATAATGACCTCAAACCTTTTGCAGAGGGAGCTAATTATCACTTATAAATAAAGAAGTAAATGAATTGCTCTTTCTCTCCTTTCTTGATGGTTGGATAGGTCCCTGAGTCCATCCCACTACCTATCAGCCACTCAGTAGCTCTGTTTGCAATCACTCTGGAGTACATGATTTAGACTTCTGAGTCTTAGGGGCCGAAATAGAAAAGCACAAACTAATTTCTCACAATTACACATGAGACTTGCACACGCAACTCCACTATGCTCATATTAACTTTGTATACATTACTTTTTTTGAGAGATTTTTGCTATAGGCATATGTGCTCACCAAAGAGACAGAGAGAGGCAGAGAGACAGAAAGTGAGAAATCATCCCCCAGGGGGGTGGCCATGCCATAGTCCCTTCTCCTCCATTCTCTTCTCAGGATTTGGGGCATGCAAGCATATGCCCGGCATGAGTTTCAAGTCATCAGGTCTGGGACTTCAACTGGGGTCGACCACATGGGAATCCAGTAACGTGGCCCCTGTATATGTTATTTTATGATTCCATCTGTAAAGCAGAATGTCTTATATATGTGCTTCTTGTGTATGACTACTACCCAATAACCCCAAAAGATGAACTACTATGTCTGTGTGTCCTATAGATATTCAGAAACCAATGAAATAATAAATTCATAAAAATGTAATAGTACTTTCAAAAGGACACTTCCTAGACCAATACGAACTTTTTTTTTTTTTTTTTGAGAGGTTTTTGCTATAGGGCGTGTGCACTTGCCAGAAAGACAGAGAGAGACAGAGAGACAGAGAGACAGAAAGGGAGAAATCCCCCCCCGGGGTGGGGGGAGATGGCCACACCGCAATCCCTTCTCCTCCATTCTCCTCTCAGGATCCTGGGCACGCATGCACATGTGCCCAGCGTGAATTTTAAGCCACCAGGTCCAGGACTCGAACCACGGTTGACTACATGGAAGTCCAGCGACATAGCCATTACAGTAACTGCTGGTCCCAGACCAACAACTTTGTATAACTAACATTGTTAGGTAAAAATGCACCATTTATCAAGAGTGAAATAGCATACAAACCTTGGGAGACTTTTAAGTTGGATACTTTGGGGTAGAAACTACATCCTCCTGACCTTTGTGTCTTAATCAGGGCCCATCCCCGAGCATCCACCCCCTGAGTCAGGCCCTCATGGTTTCTCTGATCCTATACCTGGGCTGCTTGGGAAATGACAACGGTACATAATGATGCCGATGCAGGGCAAGGACACTGGCTTTCCCAGGTAGGGTCTGCCTGTGGCTTGGGCAATCCTTATACTCCCTCTTCATCTGTTCTCTCTTCCTGGTTTCTCAATTTAATTTGTATACTTTATGACTTTCTTTTTCCTTTTTTTTTTTTTTTAAATTTAAGTTTATTAATGCTTCCTTCAGAGAGAGAGAGACTCTACAACAAGGTTCTCATACCATGACCCACTCCAGCCTCAGCCGCCCTGGATCACAGGTATGCAGGTGGCTGCCCAACAGGCTCAGGAAGACCTTGAGAAGTGAAGCCAGGCCCCTTTCTGAGGGGTCCAGTTGTGTCTCTGCCTGGCCCTGTGACTCACCTTTTGTGTCACTTTGTTTTTTACCCTCTCAGAACAGGAGATCTTGCCTATCTCTCCGATAGAACAAAGGCTAAATACGAGTGATCCCCCAAGGACAAACACATTGGTAGGTGTTCGGGTGCCTGACTCCATTCTTCCCTTCTGTCTGACTGGAGAGGCGTCCAGGTGGGTCCCTATCCATGCCTTCCACCTGGGTTTTTCCTCTGTTCTTGCGGGTCTGGTTCTGTCAGTATCCCAGTTAGAATTGATTTGTCCGTGGTCACTCAGTTTGTAAATGCCACAATTGAAGCCATATACCTCCTTATTCCCAGCCCAGTGTTTATTTTTCACTCTGTTGCATTTGCCCTCAAGGACCTCACCCTAATAGATGAGACATTCCGTAATAAGGTTCCCATTTCCAGCTGCATGCCTTTTCATTATTCTACAAATACTCAGAAACTACAGTCTATCCTTTGTGTAAGAATGCCCTTCCCCATACGCTTCTGGGTTTCTCTTTATACATTAAGGCTCATATCGAACATCACTGATGCTTGAGGTCTTTGCTGATTCCTCTCCTATTCCAACACACGAAGGTTCCCTTCTCATGCTCCTCCAAAACACTTATTTTTATCTTTCCCATTGGAACCCCTATATTGTTTGGTACTGTAGTTTGTGAGTCCACATATTAAGCTATACCCAACCATTTCCCCCTCTTTTGAAGCCCTTCCCCTGATGTAGAACACAAACCATCTGTAGGAATCCTACTAATCTCTTTTAAGAGCACTCAGTTTTACCGAACATAATCCTCAAATAGGAATCCTAATAATCTCTTTCAAGAGCATTCAGATTTATTAAACATAATCCCCTAAAGAAGGGCTATACATTTTTTCTGAGAGGGATAGTATCTACTTATCTTTGTGCAGACTGGAACATTTTACATAGTAAGTACTCGGTATAAACTTGTGGGATTGAAAGGAACACCCACATTTCAGTACAAGCTTTCCAGCTGATACTGCTCTAATTCTAGCTAAGCATTTCCATGTGGCCTTTCCATGTAAGGAATCCTACTAAATACATAAAGAAACAGTTAAGGCAATAGAATGGACTAAAATATTCAGGTCTACGCAATCTCCAAAAACGTAAGGTATGAGAAATTTTAATATGTGTAATATAATACAAACACAAAATATGTCACATACTTACAAAATGAAATGTAATTTATAATGTGCAGTGGCTTTATAAGACTGATTATTGATCAGACGAAAATCTCCTATTAGGGTTGCACAGGAACATTAAGGGCAAATGATCATTTCCATTTCCTCCTCTGTCACTTACTAGCTCCATGAGTTTGGGTAAGTTACATGCTCAGTAAATTGCAGTGACTTCAATTGCAGTGGACTTTGCAATCAATCAGATTTCAGGCTGTGTTAATGTGAATGTTAACTATCTCATAGGTTAGCCACGAAGATTAAATGAGATAATACATTAGAAAGCATAGTTCCTGTAACATTTAAGAATTCACTAAAAGATGGAAGTGATGAATATCAAGCTTGGGCCTTTAAATCCTTGCCTCTAAAGTGAGAAATATAGTTTCTGAGTTCTTGTTATTGGGAGTCTGGACAAGAGAATATGTGGGAAAGTTTTCTTTTTCTTTTAATAAAAAGAATAATGTATCATGTAAATGTAACCTGTAATTAAGCTAGTAATTACTAAGACAAACTATATATTACTAAGACAGAAAGTTATTTAAAGAAGTTAGGATGATTCCTAAGTATGATTTGTGTTTTATATTGGAGAAAATGCCCCTAAA